AATAAAAAATATTTAAAAACATAAAAACAAACAACAGCGTAATCCCGGGAATCTTGTCCGTTATTGGCATGTGCTTTGGGGGATCAGCAATGTATTTTGTTATCTTGTTGATGGAAATCTTAACCTTGTTCTTGCTGACAGGTCTCCAGCTATTGTAATGGCTTGCTTGATGAAGTCCAGAGGATGGAGGTTTGCGCAATGTTACAAGTGGGTGAAAGAGAGTAGACCATCTGTTGATCTCGCTCAAGGTTTGTTCGCCTTGATGCTGATCTGCTAGCACCTTTGTAGGGTAAAACAATTGCTGTTACTGTCGATATTATACTGTTTAAATTATGATTCAGTATTTCTAGTTAGCACTCAAGACTACCGAGTTTATAACTGCTGTATTTATGTCTACAGAACAGTGCCACTTTCAGTTTTTTTAATGAATTCTAGCTGTCTACCAGCAGTTGCAGGAGCATGAACAGAAGATTTTAGGGTCAAATGATAATAGCAATCCAGCCCTGCCAGTCTTCCCTCCTGTAGGTGTGCCATCTTTTAGCTTTGGCTTCCCAAAGGCAAATGATCCAGTTCCTGTCACCGTGTTTAATGGCGTTGGTGCTCCGTCAAATTTCACGCGTCCTCTAGAATTCCTCCACAAGAATTCCAGTTTGAAGCTGGTCATCCCCAGAACAGTCTATCAGAAAGCTCCTCTGGTACCAATTTGCCGAACCCTAATGGTGCAGCAGATATATCAATGAATTCATGAATTTCTAACGCCCTCCCTGATTAATGAGCGTCAAGTGAGCTTGCAAGAGTGCAAGTCCCAAAAGTTGACACTAGAAATTATACTTTTGGTTTGAGTTTTGGCCTGTGCCTTTCTTCGTTATTCATGAGTTTATACAAGAGCGTTAATTTAGTTTTCATCATATACATGGGTGATAAAATTGTGTTATCTCCGCGGCTTCTTGCAACATTGTTTCACTGCTGAAGAAAGGGGTAACCTTCACTTGATCAACTTATCGTCAAGGCAATTTTATCACCGGTGAATAAGCTCATCCATAACTTTGCACATTGAAGAAATAGTTTTTTTCCTTAAAATTACAGAATATCATCTACAAGTAGAAGGAAAATAATGATGTATCCATATTTTGTTAATGAAAATGATTGCAAAATATTCCTTATTTAGCTACATTTGTATTGTTTCCCTTAATATTAATGAGAAAAGAGAACTATTGATCAAGTTAAAATATTTGACCTCCCGTTTGAAAGAACATGAGTGTGCAGCATAATCAAAATATAAACATCCGACATTAGTAAACTTTCTTGTTCTGACAGTCAGAATCATCTTCCAGATCAGAATGATGGTCACTTGACAAGCATAGTGCAGGGATTTGCTTAATCAAGGATCTTGGAACGGGTGATCTTAAAGATGATTATGATTTTAAACACGTGTATCTCAAGTAATACTTTGAAATCTTGAAATTAACAACTTTGTAAGTATAATACTTCAACTGATCATTTATAAAGAGCAAATTTAATCTTCAATCAGTTAATCTGCATCTCTTAGGATTCTACTACAATAATATTTCATAGGTAAGGTAGTGGTTTTTCCCAGATTTGGGTCTCATCAATCGTTGCTAATAATCCACGAAGGATGTTTCAATCAGCGGCATCATCTGATTTTAAATCCATAAAGACGATCCAGCATTATCTTATAATAGCAGTGCAATTCAATTCTGGCCATTCCACACAGAACTTCCATTCACAATTTATGTCACCCGAAAAATGCAGAGATCCAGAGCACAATCCTGTAGGTAATTTGATACACCCAACACACCATTTATACAGAGAATACACTAAACAATTTGGGCATTTTGTATGATGAATCCAGACTTCGAGGACTTCTAGGCCATGCATGCTTCAAGGGATGACTTGGAAAGCCACAACAAGCCTGGATCATTCCGCTTATCCAACATCCTCACTAAATCCAACCATAAGAAGAATTTCAACTGCATCTGTAAATCATGAGAAGCAGATATGCAAACAAATATCAGTCAGAGAAGCTGACTCTCTAGAACGTCATCCATCTATCCAATTAGTCGTTAATTAAAGACACTGTAAGACCTTGGTGATTGGCGACATTTTCTGGATTATGGGATTCAAAGGACAAGTAAAATAAGAGAATCGGAAAGCGTTCTATGACCCCGCAAGTTGTCACATAAATTAAATTAAATTAATAAAAAAAAAACTAAACTAAAAAGCCTATAACTGTAACGATGATTTTATCCTCATTTCTCTTAACAATTATCTTGGCACTAGAGTAATATAATATTTTTTATAGAATTCAAATATCATTTGAGAATTAATCATAGATAAAATTATTATTCAACTTTATAATGTACAATAAAATATTTTTTTACTCTTAAAATCTCAAAAAAGAGGTTTTTGTTAAGGGCTTTTTGATTATTTTCTTTTAATTTGCATAATAAAATAACACTTATATTCTTGGGGTGCTCCGAAAAAATAGCTTTGTGGGGAGGGGATTTTTTGTCTTTGTATTATTTTTACATAGTAAAATTATATTCTTAACCTTTAACTTTTTGAATTTAAAGGACTATTTCTGAGTGTATTTTTATCTTTGCACCATAGTTTTGTTATAATAATTGAATGTGCTCAGGTTTTTTTTTTGTAATTAAATTTTTTTATAATTTATCTTATTAAAATATTTATATATTGGTAAAATATGCTAATATATGTAATACACGCGTTAGAGTTCTTTGTGCTATATAAAAAACGCATGTGGACAATTAAAGTGGCTAAAAAAAATCAATAATCATCTCATCCAATGCACAAGGATGAGGCGTAACTGTTATAGTGGTACTTAACCAAGATGAGTGGTAGTTCGACGGCGATAAGGTTTTTTTTTTCTTTTTTCCAGCCTTTCATTTCTCTCTCTTTAATGTTCGTGTCAAGTCTTGAAAAATTTAATTTTTTTTTTACAATTTATTTTTTTTTAATTGTTATTTTTTTATCCTTTGCATTTATTTTATTTTTTTGATTTATCCTTTAGAATTTTAATTCATTTTTTTTTCAAATTTTAGTCATCATTTTTTTCATTACTTTTTTTTCTATCCTTTTCTTCATTTTTTTATTTAATTTAATCTCTAATTAATTTTTTTAATTATTTTTGGTGCAAGATTTGGTCCTCATTGTATATATTTTTTAAATTTTTTATAATTAAGGATTTTTCTTTGTGATTTTTTTTTTGTCTTTTACAGGGTTGTCTCATTTTCATGACCCGGTTCATCAATTTCAATGTTTTACTTGGTTTGGGTTTGTTTGTTTTTTTTTTTTAAAAAATCCTTTTTAGAATTTGTTTTTTTCTTTTTTCTTTTTCATTTGGCATTGACTTATCAATCTGTTTTTCTTTTTTTTTTTTCATTTGAAATTGAGTTATTAGGCTATGAGCTTTGTAATTTGTTCACCTTTTTTTTTTTTTTTTATGGAGTTATAACATCTCATATCTCGTTTCACAAGTTGCTTAAGTTAACATGGGTTGACTTAATTTTTTTTAGATTAATTTTTTGTTTGGTTTTATCCTTTGCCATTAAATTATTGACTCTTGAACGTTGTCATTGTTTCTATCTTTCTTTGCGTAGGGTTATCCCGGGTGTGGGATAGTCAGGCATCTCAACATCCCCTCCATAAATATACAATACATCTAGCTCGATAGTAACCTAATTTGAGCATGTAGCATTTTGTGTTTTTGTTTTTTGTTTTTTTTTCATTCTCTCCTACTTGATTTTTGTGGTGGCTTTAAAAAAGATCAAATCAACCCTTGAGGTTTGTTATATTTAAGATTTCATCCTTATTCTTTTTATTATAGTTTTTAAAATTTTAAAAACTTTATGGAATATAGGTTTTTTTCAATTTTACTATTGTTCTTTATATTAAATTAAGATTTTTTTAATTTCATCCAAATAGATATTTTTCACCTATCAGATTTGATTCCTGTTTTTTTTATTTTTTTATAAATGGTTTTTGCATTTTGTTTTTGACAATTTCATCATTGTTTTATTTTTTTCTTGTCAAATGTAATCTTGGTTTTATTAATGTTTTTTTTTTTTTTCTTTGTTAAATTTAGATTTTTTAAAGGAATTCTATTTTTTAATTGAATTGAATTAATTAATTTTATTATTCAATATTTAATTTTTTAAATGTTGAGCTCTAGGATTAATCTTGGTCAAAAATTTAACGGATTATGAGTTTGAGAGTTTAATCTAAATTTATAAGGTTTGTATTATTATGATATTTTTTTTTATGAAAAATATGGTTGGCTCTATTTTGTGTTTTTATTAAATGAAATTTATTGATTGCATCCCTACCATTTAATTTTGAAGCAATACTTGAAAGTATTTTGTTTTTTTTTTAAATTTTGTTTTTTAAAATTAATATTCTTTGTTTATTTTTTTTATTGAGTTATTTTAATATCATTTCTTGAATTATGGATTCAACAGATTCACTAGATTTGGCTTAATAATTTTTTTCATTGGTTTTTAATAATTTTGAATCTCGAGTCAATAATCATAATCCTTAGATTTTGTTCTTTTGTTTTAAAAATGCATTATCTTAATATTTTTTTACATCATAATCCTTAGATTTTGTTCTTTTGTTAATATTTTTTTATAATAAAAAAATTGATGGGTTTGTAGTATTGCGTGAACCACCTATAAAATAATAATTATTTGTTTAGTTTTGTTGAAGAGTTTTGACAATCTCACTTGGTTTTGTTAATACTTTATTTTTTAATATTTTTTTATTGAATTGTTTTTTAATTTGATAAAAATTAACAATCACTATTTTTTTGGCTATTTTTTTTTTTATATCGAGTCGTGGATTCTTTCCTTTTCTTTAAAATCCAATAATATAGCTTAAGCATTATTTTTTGCACTGCGATATACCTGCAGTCCCAACCGCACTAAAGAGAATAACCAAATAAATTATTAAGTCAGACAAGCTTACCCGAGTATCTTAAAAAGAGCTTGCAAACAAGTGGTTGCTTCTGTTGCCTTCAATTCAGCTCTCAGTGTCGCAATAGCCTTCTGCAGGTGGCTGCAAACAGCAGTAAAAGGATCTTGGATTCTCTGTAATTCTTGATCATCTGGATCTGGTTCATCAATTTGCATCCTAGAGACTTCATGTGACGCTGCTAAATCATCATCTAGATCAGGCTCAGCCTGAACAACTTGATTTGTTTCAGATTTATCAGGGTCGGGTTCTTTATAAGCTTTATTTGGTCGGGGTTGGTCTTTAATGGTTTCAGTTGCTAGAGAATCATCAGGATCAGGTTCATCAATGGTTTCTCCCGAGTGAACCTCACCATTCAGGTTGCCCATCATCTCACGGTGATTGACTTGAAAATCACTAGGATCAGGTCCATTCTTGCCTTGATTAAAAGAATGTTCATCAAGACCACGTCTTGCCTTGATTAAAAGAATGTTCATCAGGACCAGGCTGATGCTGAGGTTTCCACTGAGTTTTATGTGGATTTTCAAGATCTACATTTTCTTTTCTCCTCAGAATCAGGTTCATTATGCATGTTAAAAATTGAATCATCTGGGTCAGGTTCTTCATGTATTTCAGAGATTCCAGAGCTGTTGGATGAGGCATTTAATAAAAGGCGATAAGCAGCAGCCAAGGAAGATGCACGGCACTAGCCAGCTGATCTGACACAATCTCCCGAGCTTCTATTGTCTGAAACATAGAGGTCTTCGCTGTACTGGTCTGGATGATTGATAGCACTCAAGGCATGCTCCCTTGATTTACTCCAATTAAACTATTATTTTCTTGGTTCAGCTGGTAGAAAAACACGCAAATTTAGACAAGGCTATTTCTGTTGAACTTAAGCGGTAGTTACGGCCCAATCATAAACATGTGTGTGGATACACATTTGTTCCTGTTTATCCAAAGCATAAAAGTTTGCATTGTGTTCTGAGTACACCATGTGAGTCTGAAAGGAAAATAAGAGTTAAAATGAATATCTCAACAAGAATAATCTAAAAATCTTGAGAAAAAGGGGAAAGAAAAAAAATGATTATGAGGATTACAAGTTCATGCAGAAGAGTTTTCTAGATGCTTTCATATTTCCTGAAATCCTTGAGCTCATCATGAGAAGATAGTGATGATGAGAAGGCATATGTTTTTTGCATATATTATTTCATTGTAACACAAAAGGTTTTATACAGAGAATAGAACTATACCAGGAAATATACATCATGAATGCCCAATATCATGGCAGATCACTAGTAGCATATTGTTCTCCTTGAATCTCTCCAAGTCTTCATTATACCAGATCATGCTGCAATTTGTTGCCAAGTAGAGTAATGATTTGTTTCCTTTAACACTCTCCCTCGGGTTGGTGTGTGGATGTCAGAACCCCTAACTTGCTTAGATAGAATTGGAAAGTAGCTTGCCCTGAAGGTTTTGTGAACATGTCTGCTACTTGTCTTTATGTTTGTATGTATGCTGTCTTAATTTTCCCATTTTGAATCCATTCATAAATCATGTGGCAATCCAACTTAATGTGTTTAATTTGTTCATGGTATATCGAGTTTGCTGTAATATGTAGATCCGCTTGATTGTCACAGAACAACTTTGCAGGCTCATGATGATCAACACATAAATCCTTTAGAAGTATCCTAGCTAAGTGAGTTCACAAGTAACTGCTGTCATGGACCTGTATTCTGTCTATGCCGGAGATCTTGACACTATCATTTGCCTTTTGCTTTTTCGTGACACGAGCCTTGCCAAGATATATGCAGTATTCAGTGACTGATCATCCTGTTGTTGGGCATTCAACCCAATCTGCATCTATCCAACTAACTATAATTGTGCATGTAATGGGAAGAACAATCCTTGACTTGGAGCCCCTTTTAGGTATCGAAAAAGACAGGACACAACATCAGGGTGTGGTATTCTAGGTTGTTGCATGAACTAACTAAGAGTGGAAACATAGTATGTGATGTCCAGTCTTGTAATGGTGAGGTAGATCAGTTTTTCAACCAGCCTGTGATAATGAGTTAGGTCTTTGAGTGGTTCACCATCTATAGGAATCAACTTTAGATTCTGTTCCATTGGGAATTTGGCAGGTTTTGCTTTAAGTAGACCAACTTTTCCTAGTACGTATATTTTCGTTGATTAATAGCAATCAGAGCCCAGTTTAAGGTGAATGAGGGCCTTAAGCAAAACTATCAATGAAGTTTTTTCTAAAATATGTAAGAAATATTTTTTTTTATATCTAACAAATAAGGTCTTGGGCAGTCTTCATTTTATACTTGGGGCTTTTTGTTGAGTAGTAGTAATCTTTATTTCATAAAGTATAATCTTTCATAAAGTATAATCAACAAATATACTTTACTAATTCTTGTTTCTTTTGTTAAGTGGAAACTTTGGACCATTATCCATGTGACCCTTAACTTAAAGCTTTGTTAGCAATGCTAGCCTTGGATCGAGCAACTTCTACCAAAAAAAATACTTCAAAAGTCCAATATCTTTAATCTTGAAGCAAGTGTTCAAAAACTTCCTACGATTATTAATTGCTTTTTCATTGTTTCACGTGGTAACCATGTCATCAATTTAAATAGCTATGAAAGAATCACTATGAACTTTGATGAAGAGTGAATAGTCTACCTTATTAAGTCGAGAAACAATTCTCTCCTCTTATTGACAAAAACTTGGAGGAGGTTTCATATAAACTTCCTCAACAAGCTTCCAATGAATGAAAGCATTTTAAATGTTCATTTGATAGAGATTCCAATGATGGAAAACAACAACAACATTTAAAAGACAATGCATAATAATGAGTTTGGAAACTGGAGAAAATTTTTCTTTGTAGTCAATGTTGGCTTGTTGTGTGAAGCCTTTGACAACAAGGTGAGCTTTGCAGCGCTTAATGCTGTCATTAAATTGTATTTAATTTTAAATATTCATTTGCAATTAATGGCATGATGTCCAACAAATAAAGAAACCATGTCCATACATGATTATCCTCTAGTGCACATAGTTCTTCTTATATTATTTGATCTCATTTTGGATTATAACAAGCTTGCTCATAAGAGGTTGGTTCGATCAAATAAAAGATATTACTAACAATTGGTGTAGGAAGTATGCCCTAAAATAGGATGAAGAGTATTAGACATTGTAGAGAAAGGGATAACTAGATCGAGTAATGAGCCATACTGAATATGATAATCTTAGAGACGTGCTAATGGTTGTATAAAATGATGAAAAGGCTGCTGAGTATATGGTGAAATTGTTGTAATGTGACATTTACGAGGGGAGGAAATGTCAATAAATATTGATAATGAATGGGATGAAGATTCCACTAGGTTGGGAGATGAGGTGTTGGTTATGATGATTGACACGATCAAAGAGTTGATATCTTATTTCAAGTCTAGGAGTATCAAAATAATATATAACCCGGCAACACCAGGATCGATCTACAAGGAGGTTATATATATATATATATATATATTTTAACAAAAAGTTAAAGAGATCTTTAAGATATGAGATTAATGTGAGTATTAAACAATAATAAAAACAGATATTAAGATTAGAGGGTTCACTAATGGTATTAGAAATAAGTATAGTATAAATTCTTACCAATTTTATTTTACACCTAATTTTTACACCTCCGTTGTACGTGGCGTTGTTATACCAGAAATACGAGCATGAGCTCTAGTTACTAGTTTCCAGCCTATATACAACAAGCGGAATCATTTCTTATCCTCAGTTGAAGGATTATAGTCACCTATTTCTTCAGAATCATAGGCTTGAGGATCTTGGGAATCTTCTTCTAATTCCTGTATATATTTCTTAAGTTTTCTTAAGAGAGAGTTTAATAGCCTAAGTTTAAAACTTGTGCCAATATTTTGTGGTTGATTAAAATAATCATCCTCAATTTCTATGGGGATTAGATCCTCATAATATGTTATCTTAGTTTGTAAGACATCATGTATATTTCTTAAAGACTGTAGGTTTGACCAGTGTATACAATCTACAAGTTCACAGAACTTGGTTCCTATATCTTTGAAGATATTAGACATACCTGTACTTTAAGTGATCAATACTCTTGCAACTCCACCTTTGTTCTTTCGCAACTTTCCCATGCTTTAACACCAACACTGCCCTTCTTCATCTCTTTAACGGGTCTTAGGTGCTATTCAAGTGCTATTCAGAAGACTTACTGCTACTAGGCTACTTACAGCCGATGGAGGAGTATCTTTTATCACTTCTGGGACTGTGGTCCCACGAAAGCTTCCTATAATCTAATAATTTGTTTCCTATTATATAGAATTTGCTAACTGTTGTACATACAATATATAATGAGAATCAATCACCTTTGCATCATTGAGGGATTATAGCTATTCTTAAAACCTTGTTACCTTCAATTAGAACCTTCTTTATGTGTGGTTTCCAATTGAGTAATAAAATATAACAAAATATGTATCCTATAAGATATGTATATAAAAACAATTCATCTAAAATCAAGGAATAGAATCAGATTCCTTATCAGGATAATTTATCCTTAATAGTTCATTATAAATTTTTGACATGATCATATTAATTATTTTATTTTATTAATATCATACTTTTAAATATTGTTAGTAATTCATGATGCTAACTTATGTTAATAATAAATCAAGTTCTTTTCATAACAATGATATCGATCGAAGATTATAAAGGATCAAGCATTTGATGAACCAAGTATTATACAACACAAATCCATATTAATCATTTAATAAGAAATGTATTAAGAATTAATAAGATAAAAAGATAAGATATATTAATAATAAACTTTTTTTTTATACAAATATTAAGTTCATGTTGAGTTTATATTATATATATTCTAACATCATTAGTGAAACTTTTTCACCTTGATATAATTAACTTAGCTAGACATAATGAAGAAAATAAGTATAAATAAACAAGATAAGAATATAATTATGATATAAGTTAACTAAGATTAGTAAAGGAAATGAAAATCATAAATAAGAGATTAGTGAAAATAAAACATAAAATAAAACTTGAACATTATAAATAGAGAAAGCAAGTAAGAAAATGATCTTGATCTGAAAACTAAGATGTCTAAATGAATGATAAATGCCTCATTTTATAGCCTAAAATTCAGAACTATTCATTTGATAATTGATTATTGATGTAGTTGCTAACTATTAATTTAGTGGACTTGGTGAATAGCAACACTCAAACATTTTAGCTAGATAAAATGACATTGATGCAATCAAAATTTGACAAAATGTTCTTCATGGAAGTTGTTGGGAATCATCTCCTTTTACCACCTACAAAATGTTAGAGCATTTGGATCACTAAAGCACTAGATATGACTAAAATACTGAGTAGTGCTTCTTGTGGACGGGGTGGATAGCCCTCTTACTCTTGTCTGGGTGAATGGCATTGCTAACATTAGAATTTGAGCAGGTGGTCT